TCTCTCTCTCTCTCTGTCTCTCTATCTCTCTCTCTCTCTCACACACACACACACACACACACACACCTCTTTTCCAAGTTGTCATTAGCCTTTTAATTTGAAGGAGGCATTCATAACAGGCCATATTTACAGTGGGCATGTGGACATGTGGGTTTGTGTTAGCAGAGATTGCCATCTGAGATGCCAATGAAGCATCCCTATGGCTTTGTGGTTCTTCCCACACCTCCTTGGACCCTTGTTCCCTGCCATTTTTGACATGTCATGGAAATGAACTTGTGAGGTGTGGACTCTCCTGTCTGACAGTGTTCACAGTATGTTTCTGCTGAGATTCACCTCCCAGGTTCCCAGGTTGCTATATAGTCAGTTAGTATTTACCCTGTGGTCTATCCTCCCCAGCCTCTGCTGCCTTGTCTTTCTCCTCTTCCAACTCTCATATGCATACAGAATCTCATACCCTTTAGCTCACTATATAGCCAAGATGACCTTAAACTCTTAATCCTCCTACCTCCACCTGGTGAATGTTAGTTCACAAGCATGTGCTACCATGCTGGTTTAAGCTGTGCTGGGCATTGAACATGCTGAGCATGCTAGGCAAATATTCTGCCAACTGAGCTACATCTCTAGTCCTTCGTTTTGGCTTGTTTATTTATTTGTTTTTGAGACAGAATGTACCCCTGGATGACCTGGAACTCACAAAGATCCACCCACTTCTGCCCTCCTAGTAGAGTGCTTCAAATTAAAATCATGCCAGGTACCAATCCATCTGGCTCTTTTGGCTTTTTGAGACAGGATCTCACTAGGTAGACCAGATAGCCTCAAACTCTCCAAAGTCATCCTGCCCTGCTTCGACAGGACTGAGATGACAGGCGTGAGCTATCTATCATGTCAGGCTGGTCTTCTGGCCTTTTCATTTCAGCCTACCCTGTGGTGCCTAGTGTTACCGAGCTCAGTCACCACTTCACGTCTCTCCAGCAGCATCTTTTGCTGACCAGCTTCTTCCATGAGCCTCCTTCTGTCTTGTTCAGATCCTAGCCCAATGTTTTGCATTTGGGGTGTTTGCTTTCCAGTCAGTGATTTTTGAGAGTTCCTTAGGAATCCTGGATCAGACCTAAGGAATCTCATGCTATGTAGAGATTCTCTCTCTTGGTCCCTAGCTTGTCTTCTCAGCCTCCCTGTAGTTACCATTTGAAGAACCAAATTAAGGTTAATAATAATAATAATAATGAATTCCAATTTGTCGATTTGTTCTAGAGAATGTGCTTTTAATGTTGTGCCTAAACAACTTTGAATGACCCCCAACCACAAAGATTTTTCTCTTGTATTCTGTGTTCTTACTATTCCTTTTTGAATAGACTTTACCTCCATATGGGGTATGAACTCTGTTATTTTTCTTTCATTTATTTATTTGTATTCAGATATTCAGCTGTTTTAGCCAGTTTTCTGGAAGAAACAGTTTTGCACCCAGATGCCTTTGCACCTTGTGCTGGAAAATCAGCGACAGCTCTGGGTAGCGGCGCTTGCTATGAGAGCTGGCTACCTGAAATGGATTCCCAGAACCTACGTGGAAAGAACCAACTCCCAAGAGTTGGCCTCTGACCTCCACCTAAGAACTGTGTCGTGCATACCCTCCACATAAAATAAATAAGTACATGTCATAAAAAATATTTTGTTCAAGTCTTGCGTGCTCATCTCTGGGCCATCTTGTTCCTTTGATCTATTTCGGTGTTTTATACCCATGCCACCCTGATTAGAGTTTTTGTTCTCAGATTATGGGCTCTTTGATTTTATTGTTCTTGTTCAAGGATGTTTGGACTGTTTAGGGCCATTTGCTAGATTCTGTCCACAAAAACATCACCAGTGATGATGTTTACAGGGGATCTGATCTGCAGAACATTGTAAGGAAACCCTGGTGCCACTGTAAAGTATGCGTGCATTCAAAGATTGGGCCAACGGGAAGTTTTTAAGAGCAGAAAAGGGAGACATTTACGTAAGCTGCCTGGGAACAAAGTTCACCGGTCAATCATGAAGAGCCAGGGGCAGCTTTGGCGCCAGCTCCTTGGTGGAGGTACCTCTGGGGGCTTATGTGTTCTATCCAGAGTGTCTTGTAGGCATTGCCGCAGGCTTAAAGAATGTT